ACGAAGAAGAATACCTCTGTGTTTCGGTTATGTTGCAGTCATAGATGTTGCTAGGAGATCGTCTGGTAAGCCGGATATCTTTCATACAACTTTGGCTAGTTGCAGTCATGGACAGAAAGTTGGCTTCACTCACAGTGTTCTTACATTTAATTTCTTGAGCTCTCTATACATACCGACTAACCATACACTAACTACGAGAGTTATAATAAATGCCACAACGTAGTCAGCATGCTAGCAGGCGGATGATCCAAAACAAATAGCAGATGCGTATGGAAGAACGTAATCGTTCGACCATGACGACTGATGATCAAAAGAGAGCATTTTTTTCTCATTATCTATCATCCACGGTTCGAATCTAGTCATTCTATCTTTTCTATACTGGAGCTAGAATTATCATCTACGAAGAGTACCAAATGTTTGACGTCACTCGTAGAGCACTTTAGCTGCTGAGAATGTTCTCCTCTTGTCGATCGTGAGGTAAGGCATTGAATAGTACCTGTCTAACTGCCATAAATAAAGACAGTCGACCGTCTTAGAGGGCATAACCAATTGCAATCTTCATCTTTGGATTAGTCAAGCCATTCCAATTAGAATAAGAATTCGACTTCATATTCATCCATTTTCAGTAAGCTTTTCTTATAAAACTTTTTACGATTCCCGTAAATTCCATCTCAATGAAGCGACTGAATGGAATGTCTGCAAGAGTGGATGTGTCAGATTAGCGCATTAAAACATTAAAAACATCCAGTTCGTTGGAAGCGAACTGAGCAAATGCTCCTTATACCACATAAAAGCTATGTTTCAATCAAAGAGCAGTTTTTACTTTTATTGGCATGAGAAATATTAGCATTCTTACATCTTTCTTCTAGCCTATAAGTACCTTCATATAATAGGACATGAGAACCCGTGGGTATCCGCAAATAATAACACTTGAGGACCCATGGATACTTTCATGTAGTAGAATATGAGGATCTCTGGACACCTCAAGATAATAGAACTTGAGGATCCATGGATACCATGACTGAATCAGGAATCGTCGGTACACCGGGAATGACCGAGCTCGGGCTCAGTGTATGTCTAATTCTGATGGGTCGCAAAAGAAAACAGATAGAAAGAATTTTGTGCAATAGAGCCTTTAGCAGTTTAAGGGGTCAATATATATGAGCTAGTGGCTGATGCACAGGCTTTTGAGCCTGATAGATCTGCCCGTTCGAAATCCCCTCCTCAGACGATCCCCGGGAAACCAGTTTCCACAAAACTCGATTTGCGTTTGCCGTGAGCCATACAGTAGATCACAGGCGATCCAGTAGGGTGTCGAGCTTAATAGACTTCAGATTTCTGATGTCCTTTTCCCGACCGTTAAGTGATATTCGTTTTCCCGAAAACTGGATTCCTATTGCTTTTCGACCAACCAATATGATTTTGAAGCAAATGGACCCCAAATTCGAACTCAATATCCAGGAAAACCTTTGGTGACGTGTCTTCTGTGTGATCACGGAGTGCTGTTAAGTAGTTATTCTATACTATTAAATGCTGCAATTTTATTAGTTGGGCACACAAACGAACCTTTGCAGATGGAAGACCCATGCTTTGTGAAAAATAAGTAGCCCTCGACCTGTCCCTTGATGAAAGAACAGCTCATGCAAAATTTGGCTGCATTGACTCATACAGAGCCCATATGCGTAAAGAACAAACTTTCTCCTTTATATATTAGATTATCTCTACTTGGTATACCTTTGTGAAATATGAGTGGATTGTTAGCAGTGGTGTCTATCGGAATACTGGCATCCACACTGAGTATTGTGCCTTTAAAATGAACTGTGTATAATGGTTTTTCATTTGGACCAAAGAGAAATTCTTTGAGATCATCCAAATCGTGTATTTGAGCAAAATCAACTGCCACTTTTCCAAGTTGTTCTCCTTCATTGCGTACAATCCAAATTTTTTGGGTATTTGAACTCATCGTTGTTTTTGCTGTTAATTTACCACTATTGTATGACGCAAAGTACAATCACAAATTTCAAATAAATCTACAACAAACCATTTGTGTAAAATGACACACAGAGCGTTCTTACCCTCACCCTCAATCACATGAAGATGCGGCGGTTGGGACTGAAGATGAGAGCGAGATCGAGGGTTGGAATAAGCGTACCAGTGAATTTAAGGGTAAGAATGGTGAGAATGGAGACTTCATGATTGTAGCATGAAAATGACAGGACTCATTTGAGATCTGTATCCCACTATATATATATATATATATATATATATTACTCTATGTATATATATCCATACACGAAGACAACGCTATATATAGAGGGCGACAAGAGTTACTAGAAATCTATAAGATGAAAAATTCCATGGATGATGGACAATGAAAGGAGAATCCGTAGAAGAACAAGAAAACAAGAAAGTCAAGTAGAAAGAAACGAAAATGTCCATCACACATATATGACAGGAAAGGAAAAAACCATTACAACAAGAGAAAAGAAGAAGAATATAAGTACATATGCATAATCCTATAGACAAAAGGAAAAAAACTCTAATGACCGCATCTGAAGAAGATGCAGGGCATAACAACTCATTGACGCATATGCACTATCGGAAGAACCAATTCTGTTTCTAGAATTTCTCTACTGTGCTTAATTCTATAGACCGTACAACTCACATTTTACAAACGCAGATTAATAAAGAAATGAAAATAAAAAATGTCCACAAAAAACTTCTTTCGTCTATCGACATAATAACATTATCAACGTTGTTCGTGCTGTTGCTTTCATATGCAAATTACATTCTATGACAAAACTAAGTAACCAGCTATATACATTACACTATTCATGTAGATACATAGTCATAAAGAAGAAAAAAACTAAATAAAATGTTTTTTTTTCTTCGTCGCATTTTGTGTGCAGTACTTATCTTTACCAAGCAATCTTTGTTAGATCTTTACTTCTTTTATTCTATTATTCTCTCTTCTTTTTTAAAAAAAATAAAACAAGTGAATGAAACAAAACAAAAAAAAGCACCAAAGAATGTCATTCTCTCTCTTTCAAGAACTGGTAAAAAAGCCAAACGAGAGTTACTTGTAAACATGCACAAATACAAAGAACAAAGATAACGTCATGCAGATAGGAGAACTATTCACCATTAAATTCATCATTTTTTATTGCTTTAAGGCCGCCCCCTCCAAAAATCGATTTTTTTTAAAATTCAATTTTCGAGATAAACATATGGTGTTACTTGTAAGGTGTCTAGTTTTAAAATTCATGAAAGTCACTTCCCATTTGGAATGGTTTCTTTAGAATAACCGATAAACTTCTAAAGCTTTCTAGCAAAAAACATGGTACCTAAGACTATAGAGAACTTATAGGCCCACTTGTTGTTATCGTCGATAATGGCAAACAGTGGCACGGCGTACTGTTGTACATCTACTCGATGAGACGTCTGATGGACTTTTAGTTGATATACAACATAACTACGCTTCTCTCTGAGATATGAAGATGATTCAACAAAATATTCAAAGAAAGAATATTCGCGTTTTTCTCAAAACTGATTTTTGGCAAAACTGAGAAACTCCGAACAAATCTTTTTTTCACTATAGCTCCTTCCATCGAACTGCGATTTTTTTTATTTGATAGATTGATGCATCCTCTTTCGAATGAGGAAAATGGAATTTGTATTCGTCCTTAAAATATTAAAAAAACCCAAGATTTTCTAGAAAACCTTAGCTACGGATTTTAGAACTTCAAGGTTTCGAGAGTTGCAAAAATAAAATAAAATTAAAATTAAAAAAAAATTCTTGCCCTCATCCAAAACAGCAAGAATTTTTCTTTCAAATGAGACCACCCCGAGGGTGTGTGGGTGTGCGTGTAACAGAGACAAGAGCTATGTCAGTACGCACACCCACACCCAAAACAAAATACGACATTCACCTAAGTACTGTCCTCAGAGTGTGTATCAAACAACAATCTTTGACGTTTGCAGAGGATGATGATCGAAAAACTATCGAACAACTCGGAGGAAACAATCTTATCTGGCCGAATGCGTCAAAGTCTGATAAGTTGTTACATGATCTTCTATATTTCCTTTCCGTGTAGGGCGAAGTAGGTTTATCTTCTGAAATAAAACCTGGCAATATACAGTAGAGTGCAAAAATAATTGCCGATAGACTTTTCAAAGTTCTTCTCAGAGAAGTATCAGATATTATGATTTTTTAATGTTGTTGTACTACCCAGATACTGTACTACACAAATATATTAATCATTAAAACTTTCGCATTCTCTATGAGTTTAAAGAAGATAATAATCTTACGTTCTTGGAAAGAATAAAAAAAATTACAAGTTACGCATCAGTTTTAATCCAGTTGTCGGGTCAGAATCTTTTTGATTCATCAATATCTTAAAGTTTTTCATTCATATCAATTGATTGAATGGTCTGGAAGAATAATTTAACTAGATTCAGACTTGTGCTATTAAGTAGCCAAACGATAATTTTACCTATTTAAGGCTGGTCGATCTTATTGTTAGCCTTATTATAACACAGTGTTACGCTCCTCAATCTTGAAAATTTTATCATAACTAATGTGAATAAGGATCATCGTTATACAGTAGTTTCAAACTTCTTCTCGATAATTATTACTTCAATTATGTAATATGATTTATTGGTCAGATTAGATGCACGTAGTGCTTGAATTATAAGTCATTTTTGGGCAAATACATAACAGTTTTCGAGCAATTGCCGTCTCATTGAATGCACCAAGACAGTACCTAACACTTGCACATAACTCGAGAAAAATCGCTCGAAGAACGTACGAAACAGTTTTAAAGAAAGTCAATACACTAAACGGCAATTTTTTTTGCACTCTACTGTATATATATTGAATAAAATAAAAAAAAGTTTATTTTTTATTGAAAGAAAAGGAAATTATTGACATATGATTTTTTTTTTGGCATGTTCAAATATAAAGTAAAGTAAAACACAATGACTTGATCGATTGCCATCATTCAACGACGACGACGGCGACGCTGACGATTTTTGTTACGATTTGGTGGTAAGGAGAAGTGTGCAAAATCCTGGAAGAAAAAACTGATGAAGATCTGTATGAATTTGAAAAATTCACTCACAATTAAAAACAATGCACCTAATGCTACAGCTTTCATTCTCACATCAAGATCCAATTGTACTAAAAGATAAAGAAGATTTCGGCATCAAATCATCAACATTCTTCGGCTCACTTCGAATAGTAAATGCATCTGCTGATGTTAAAGATTCAGCGACAAATCCTCGATATTTCTTATGAACAGCACCAATTTCTGTCGATCCATCCGTTCCATAGATCTATGATAATATCGACAGATTTCCTCACTTAGACTTATTCTATAATCTTACCGTGAATTTATTTTCACAACAGCAAGCATACGGTCCATCACAAATACAAGCTGGACCAACAATATTTAACACGGGTATTCCACTTTCATTCTTTAGAACATAAGTTGCACGCAAAAAACTACATCTAAATGCGAGAAAAAATCGAGGATCAAATGAAATTTTCTTTTTTTATATGTACTCTTGTGAAACATATCCAATGATAGTTCCTGGTGGTGATTCAACCACAACTTCTTGACTACATGCTTCACAACATGCAAACCAATTACATCCAGCCCAACATCGGAATTCTCGTTTTATACGAATAATTTCCTAGGCAAGTTTCAAATGAATAGAATAGATCGAATCGATAATAATCAATACTTGATTAGCACTATCGACAATATGAAGATCGAAACGACGTGTTTTGGGACAACACATACGTTGACAAACATCCGATTCTAAATGAAGAAGAAAATCGGTTTGATATATTTTTTTTTTGTTTATAGTACCTTCAAAAGCAAAATAAATTTGTTCGCGTTGATCATTGAATACTCCATATTTGGCTTGAGCTGCAATACCAGTGACAACTAAGTAGAAAAAAACATCATCAACAAGATGATTGACTAATTCGAATATCATACGTTCACTCATCACAACAACTTGATTGACGAATAAAGATTCTAATGGTTTTAAATAGGCTAATCCACTTGGATCACCAGCAGGTTTAGCCATCCATTGTTGTTGTGGTTGAGGATTCATCACATTATTACCCAAGAATTGATTCGCTTGATTCATGGTGCTGATTTTGAGCACAACTGCACGATGAAATATTCTACTTTATGTTTTTTTTTCTCTCCGTTCTATTCGTTACTCCTCTTATTTTTCAAACTTGAAGGGCGTGTCCTTTGTTAAATTTGGTTTATATAGTAACTTTTTCTTTCATTCTCAGCATCTAAGCATGTTGGCAATGAACGAGCCGTTGCTATATACATAACTTCTATTTACTTCGTCGTCAGAAATGAAAAGCAGTAACGATGATTTTTTTTTCTTTATATGAAAGAGAATGCTTATTAGATGAAGAATTGCAAGAACTCTGTGAGCCTTCACCAGAAAACATATAAGTATTTGATGATTGACTTAATCAATATTGTCGATTGATGTAGAAAAATTGGTTTTTTCTTCTATTAAATGCTGTTTTCATATGAAATTCAAGAAAAAAAATGTTTGACTATAATTTTTTTTCTTGAAGGGTCTCTTGACGAATGATTCATTGATCGGTATGATAATTCTCATTTCTTGATCGACAAAACTGAAGAAATAAAAATGAGAACTAATGCGGAAATGTGACAACACGTAGAAAGGGCGGGTGGGTGTAAGTGTGGGTGTAGGTGTGGGTGTGGGTGCTGGTGTCGAAGAAGTAAGAAAATCCAAACCCACACATACCTACACAAACACCCAGACCCAGACCCAGACCCACATCCACACCCACACTCCGCACCCACACCCACACCCACATCCACACCCACACTCCACACCCACACCCACACCCACACTCCGCACCCACACCCACACCCACATCCACACCCACACTCCACACCCACACCCACACCCACACACCCACACCCACACCCACACCTCACGCCCATATTCAGTTTGTCATAATACTGTTACACCTTTTTCTCATAGATTGATGTCTTCTTCTTATTGGGTGTAGCTTCGCTTGAATCGTTTAGATGGGTGTGTAGTATGAATGTGGATGTGGTTATGAGTATTCTTTCCTTCGGCACTCGCACTCACACCCACACCCACACCCACACCCACAACCCACACCCACACCCACACCCCACACCC